AGCCCCTAGTAGCGTCCTTGCACCTAGTAGTAAGGCCAGGAGCCCCTAGTAGCGTCCTTGCTCCTAGTAGCGATGCCAGGAGCCCCTGGTATCCTTGCCCCTAGCAGTATAGGGTCAGGAGCCTCTAGTAGTGTCCGATCGCTCCTATCTTCTTACTCCCCACTTCTTTTCTCTCCCCGACACCACTAACCCCTCCCCGAGCTCTTGCCCACTGGCCTGTGCTGCGTAGGCCTTTGTGACGACCTCGCGTTGAGCCTCCACAACCATTGCCGGGAACGACGACGATCGCAAGAAGTGTCCAGTCTGGAACCAAAGTGCTCGGGAACTGCAAAAGCCACAGTTCCAGGCTCTTTAGGGAAGGCAACTTCGTGCAAGTCAGTTGACATGGCCGATGGACAGTCATTCTCCCTGTTTCTGATTCTCATACAGTTTCCTTTTCAGATTCTGTAATTTTTCCCAAAGCACCGACTGCGCCTCCGCGTGCATCCGCTTCTTCTTGGCTGCCTTCCGCCGGGCCAAGTCCTCCACAAGGTCAAGCACAAAACACCGGGAGGACTGAAATTTGTCAAAAGCTCCTATCAAAGAACATTTGTCAAGAGCTCTCAGCCACTAGAATGAGGTTTCGGATGTGCATCAAACACAAACACTAAAGGATACTAAAGGTACGAGTATTGCGCACATAGACAGGAGTCAATTCTGTACGCACCGGAGCCGTCCTCGAGCATGGCTTTCTCTTTCGCAGCGCGCTCCTTCAGTCCAAATCGGGATGGACTCGACAGTCCAAATCCGGAAACGAAAAAAGAAACACGTCGGACACGTCAACGTCGGTCATTCGTCCTTCGCTGCCACCTCCCGGAACTCGGTGAGGTCAATCTCTCCTTCCTCCTCCATGGCCTCATCGTGGAGCAAAAAAATATCTATCGTCCTCTTGTTCCTAGTAGCTTCTTGCTCCTAGTAGTAGGGCCAGGAGCCCCTAGTAGCGTCCTTGCTCCTAGTAGCGATGCCCTTTGCTACTAGTATCGTAGTAGCTTCCTGTTCCTAGTAATGCCAGGAGCTACTAATAGCGTCCTTGCTACCAGTAGCGAT